AAACAAATATGATGGAACATCTAGTAAAAGCGTACGGAGAAAAGAGAAGAGGTGATGGGCAGGAGGAAATCAGAGAGTGCAAGCTGAGGTTTGCTATTCTGTATCAGGTGGTTGGGGTAGGCCTCACAGACCTGATTATCCAGAGTGAAGGAAGGAACCCGGCATACACCTGAGAGAAAATAGTGCAGAAAGAGGGAAGGGCTAGGGGGGAAGGCCCTGAAGCGGGAGGGTGCCTGGAGTGGAGTCAGCACAGGAGAGAGCCCTGAGAGCTGCGGTGGAGAGGGTCCTGAGACTGCAGGGAGCTGTGTCTAGTGCGCAGTAAAGTGACACAATCCACCTGACTTTCAGACTTCCTTTTGTGTGTATGTGAGGAGGCCAAGGGTGGAAGCAGGGGCCAGTGAGGGGCTTATTGCTGAATGCAGATGAGACACTGGAGATGTATAGAACTCAGACAACAGTTTTGATTGTCTTCAGTTAGCCTTTCTTCAGCTTTCTAGGAGTTTCTTTTCCCTCTCCACTAAGTAATTTTGTTGTGGAGGTGAAATAAAAGCCCTTCAGCTCATAAACTTAGGGAGAGAGGAATCATTAAGTACTTCTTTGCCTGGCCAAAGGTGCCTAGTATATGTTGACAACAGAGATAAAATGAGAAACAATGACAGGAAAATGATCTGAGATCTGTAGTCAAAGGACATAAAAATATAGCCCAAGTTTATAACATAAGGCCGTGGTGCTCATAAATGGTAGCTATAGTTAATATTATTGATATAATTATCAGTTACTGTCAGCTGGGGTTCCCTTGCTCCTCAAATACCTGTATTTAATTGTCTTTTATCCATGTCAGTTCCATGGCCTGTGCAAGACCAAATCCCTTGCCCAGATTCCTGCAACCATCCGGACACCTGACATCTTAAAACTTCTGTTTCTTAGATCCACACATGCTGCTTCTATGCTTCACAGTTTCATGTTTTGAGCTTTCCAAAGAAACATGTACATTTGTGTTGGTGAGAAATTTAGACTTTACTGAAGAGTTCATAGGGAAATCTAAAGAGGCATTTGCCACAGAAAAATAAAACAAAACTTCTACCTCATAGAAGAAGGTACCAGCATTCTTTAAATCATTTTCTACAACTGTGGAGGTCCCCTGGCCTCCAAGTCGCCTCAACCCTTTTCTACCTTGAGGGATCTTTTCTTTTCTTTTCTTTTCTTTTCTTTTCTTTTCTTTTCTTTTCTTTTCTTTTCTTTTCTTCTTTTCTTTTCTTTTCTTTCTTTTTTCCTTTCCTTTCCTTTCCTTTCCTTTCCTTTCCTTTCCTTTCCTTTCCTTTCCTTTCCTTTCCTTTCCTTTCTCTCTCTCTTTTTCCTTCCTTCCTTCCTTCCTTCCTTCCTTCCTTCCTCCCTCCCTTTCTTTCTCTTTCCTTCCTTCCTTCTTTTCCTTCCTTCCTTCCTTCCTTCCTTCCTTCCTTCCTTCCTTCCTTCCTTCCTTC